CGGACGGTTAAATATCAAAGATGTAAAAAGCAATAAACATCATTTTAGTGTAATCGTTCAGTTTTATTATATTATGTAACTTGTCTAAGCAATGTCAAAGTTAATTTAACAATAGCCTTTTGTGTTCATTAACCGTGTACGAAACAGAAATATTCACATCTGCGCGTGACGAGCAATAGTTGAAGAAACCGTTAAGACAAAGCCTCGAGGCGTGCAGAGAAGCTCGAATTTATAGAAGAAAACAACAATTGGATAAAATTAATTCTTTAAGCAAAAAAAAGGATTATGATATGGCCCTGATATAGCTGATTATCAAAAGAATCCTGTAAATGTTCGATTTGCATTTGTAAACTACATTTGAATCTTTAAATGCATTTTTCTCTGAACCATTTTTTCGCGACTTGTCGTGATAATGTTGTAGCAAAATTGCTTCTGTGCTACATGAGTTTTGCTAAGATAACTAATAATTAAGCTAGATATAGATTTGAAAATAAATGTGTCGAAATATTATATGGGATGTTCATGTTAGCTTCTAATGTTGTCCAAACTTTTTTGCAGCATTGTTCATCCTACTTGAGTCTTCGACGTAATTATAGTCCAACAAAATTATTTTTAGTAAGTATATCACATTATACAAATTTTGGACCAATGAGAATAAGTGTAATAAAACAAGAAAAATCTTATATTCGGTCAAAGCGTTAGTGCTTAAATATTTATAGATTTATATATCTGATTCTGCAAACTATTCTCATACAGATCTGGATCTCAAATATTAGACAACAGACACGTGCTATGCGTGTGCATAAAAAAAAAATTTTGTTGAAGTGTCTAAAAATTTTAGATTTGAAAATAATTTTGTTAGAATATCAAAATAATTATATAGAACACTTGAACTTTGATGACTATTACAAAAACTTTTCACATTCATAACAATCAGAGTGCTTACATAATTATTTTGATAGTATAAAATTATTTCTAAATCTACATACCCATATCTTGCTCAATTTTTTAATATTTGTAAAATCGTTTATTCCATGCGCTATTTAATTTTCAATATTTAAGAATTCAAATTTCTTCTAAACTGTATGGTCAGTGTAAACGAAACTTTTTTTTAGAACAAACTTAAGTATTAACTTTATAATTATAACGTTTTTCAAATTGTTGTCTTATACGTAAGTTTACGCAATTAAAAGTAAATACATACAAATTATACCTCCAACATGTAATGTAAAATTTCATAAATTTAGAATTAAATATCTTCTAAATAATACGGTAAAAGTCAATAAAATTTTTTTCTACATATTATTGATATTGACATTTGTATTAAATGTATATTATAGGCTTGTCTTATATTTTATCAAACGCGAGAATCTCCTAACACACAAATTTTATTCTAAAACTTCAACAAAATCGTTCTTATTGTGTAGATTGTCAAGTTTGCAGTAAGTTCGATGCTCGGTATTACTATAAATATGCTTACATTTTATTCTTTCGTTCTTCTAAATTGTTTGATCATTAAAAACAATAAAATTTATTGCTTCGCAAATACGATTTTGACTAGAGAAGAGTATATATAGTTTATCATTCGGCATTCACTGAAATTAATCGAATCTCTAGCATTAAAAATAAAAGTCTTATTCAAAAAAGTTTTTATATGAAAGTACTAATTTAAATAAAAACAATTCAAATATTTCAGATTATAAAATACGTATTTTATGTAATAATATAATCGAATATATTGCAAATTTAATTAATTTTTATGTATCTTTACGTCAATTTTTAATAAGCACAAGTGCGCACTGTGAGTGCGTAAAATCAAATTCGTTACAAATTCTTCTCTTTTGTGAAGTGGAAGAAAAGAAAAAATTTGTGCTTTCTATAATAAGTGATTACCAAAGTCTTGAATAAGACATTAAACAATAATAATCAATTACTTTTCTTACATTTGATTGTGATTGATTACATTTTTATAACTTAAGTAAGGACTTATTGTAGGAAGCCTGTAAGTGGGGAAACACAAATACATAACACATAATGCATAAGATAATGTACCAATCAAAGTCTTTCGTTTCCTCTCTTATCATGAAATGGAGAACTCTGATTAGTTGAATTTCTTACATCTTAAGATATATCTGTAAGAAAATTATCCAATCGCATTTTTTTTATAAAATTGGATGTAAAATGTGATTGAATAATTTTTTTTATGGATATGTTTATGCAGTTATACAAACTTGTACCCTCTTCTCGAAAAGTACCCGGAACTTCTTCTTCAGAGAATCCTAATACAAAATTTGAATTCTGAAGAAATTAGAAGTCGCGTCGCGCGTCTCACATCGACATGTCTTCTTACACAACCACAGCAATATATATCACATACATGATTCAATTTTCGTATAACAAATTCGTCGCAATAAAACGTTTAAGTCTAATTCTATAAACTCGAAGTTGTTAATTTGTGTAAACTACGTGTATAGAAACAACTATTTCGTACGTACAAGTTGCAAAGTTTTTGTATCGAGCAAATATTGACAGCCATGACTGAAACATGTTACACTAAGAAATGATAAAGAATACATCAATTTTAAAATTTGTAAGCGTTCTCGGCATAGACTCTACTTTCCAGACACGTATACGTATTAATAACGTATACGTATTTTAATACTGGAATATATATCGTATTATTTGAAACTTTGAGAATCTTCGAACGTTTATTAGCGTTTTCTATCATACTTATGACTTAATTTACACAATCGTTTATAATTTTAAAACATTAATAAACAAATTTATGTTGATAAAAGTGTACTACTTTCCATCGAGAGCAGAATATAAGAACCAATAAACTATGAGTCGAGCATTCTCCTGTCTTTCGACTGTAAATCACCGAGCGATTGGTTCTTATTCATGAATCTACAAATAAGAACCAATCGCTCGGTGAGTACACTATATTCCGAAACCCATAAAGAAAAATGTTGTATTTTTTCTGTGACCGACTGTATGTTTATGCATCATGTAACAATTTCACTCATTACTTTCTTTTACCACGTAAAAGTTTTAGTCCTAATTAAAACGTCTCTATATAAATCCATTAGTTTTTAGCATTGTTTCTTTACTGAAAGTGGGAATTTTTTCTCTCTTCTCTTCTAAATATTTACCGCAAAAATCTGCATATAACTAAGTTTTTTATTGGCAGAATATGTGTTCACTCAATGCATTTTAAAATCTTTAAACACAAATCAATAAAATGTATGTTCAATAAAAATACGAACACGAGTTAAACCGCGAAATCACAAACACATTTTATTATGCTATTTGATAAATTATACTTTGAGCAATTTATTAATTAAAATACGTTATCCTTTTACGTTCAGATTAGATGAGCATACAAAGACAGCAATGTGTCCTGAATAATTTTAATTTTCTCAAGTA